ACTCGGAGTAAGATTGTATTACAGAGAGGGAGTTGCTATCACCATGCCACCCAGGATGGCATTCCTAAGATTTAGATGCACTCCTTTTTTTTATCAAAGAAAGCAGGCAGGATAAGAGTAGAAAAGAAGGAAAAAGAGAAAAAAGATGCAGAGGAACACAAGAGGATTAGAAGAAAGAAGAAAGGAAGAAATCAGGGCAAGAGGGAGCGAAAGGAATATCAAAGAAAAGGAAAATAATTGGGGAACAGCAGACCACCAACACTTGGGCCCACTATCCCATCCCTAACCAATACAGCAAAGAGAAGATGTCATATGAGATGGGCAACCAATTTACCAGAAAATGCACTTAATCATTCAACAAGGCTAGGCCCGGCAGTCTATCGCAGACAATGAGAGCATGCTCTAACTGGAGCACAGAAGGGTTTCATATTCTGTGGAAAAAGTAAATTCCTGCCAATAGAATCAAATGTTCCTAAATTTTTTTTTGTTCTTAAGTTTAAGGGCCGCAGTCAGCTCCTCCATAATACAAAGGTCTTGGACATTCTTCCATCACAAAGCAAGGGAGGGTGGAGTTGTCTTTTTCCAACACAAGGGAATACAAACTATAGCCAAATTAATACAATGGACAAGCAGCGATTTCTTGTACCTACATAGAGACAGATGGTTCAATCCAAAAGGTATGCAGTGGGATTGTCCCCCAGGTCAACGCCTGTCAACTTTTTATCCCAGGTTCGCACCCCCTGCCAGAAGGGGCCAAGCACTGGACACTTCCAAACAATATATAGCATAGTAGCCAAGGCTTGATTGCAATGCCAGCACTGAGGAGAGGATTGCAGGTATACCTCATGGAGCAACGTAGGGACCCTGTACCACCTGGGCAGAATTTTGAAGCCCCACTCCTGAATTCTGTTTGCCATAGAGCCAAGTATAAAATCTGGTCTCCCTCGGAGTCAGAAAAAAACTGTATTCGGGTCCCTTTCCCATTTCCAGAGATAGTCAGGGACATAGCCAGGAGGGGGTGGGCTCACCATACTATATAAGTAAAAAAGGGCATGTCTCATAGGAGAAGGGTCTAAGCATAGTTTTTTAAAGGGTGTGGCGAACTTTGACAGGGCATGAGGATTGGGTAGCGTGAGGAAAAAGGGCCGCAATTGGGAAGACTTCCAAAAGGAAAGCAGTGGATCTGTCAGGAATTGAAGCTCCTCAACAGACATATTTGCACCACACTGCAGTCACATACTACAAGTGGACATATGATTCTGAAAATTTAACTTAAAAGATTTACCAACCTCGATAAGAATCCGAAATTGGGGCTGGAGGCTCTCACAGACGGACAGACAATATCCTGAACATCCAGGAGACTTCAAGGGAGACCCACGAGGTGGAAACATCGCTCGTGTCTGCTGTCGGAGATTGTGCAAAAGCGGATAGCTCCTTGAGGAAATGGCAAGTCGTGCCCATATTGAAGTGGACATTTGAATTGCACTGGGAAAATCCCCAAGCCGCCCGGACTCTGAGGAGACTACAGTAACGTGAGTCATGAGAAGTGTTACATGTACCCGCTAAGGACATCATTTATATATCACTCTGAGTTAGAGATTTATAACATCCATACTCAATACCAAATAAAAGGAGAAAGAGAAGAAATAAGTCAGGCGGTTGGTTAATTAATGATAATCCAGTGATAGTCTGTCCGTGAGAAAACTTCCCTCCCCTCAAAATAAAAGGATTTGTTACACCCCACCACTCTAATTCGAGTAACACATTGCTGACGAGCAGGAAGGAGTTAATAGCACACACGGCTAAATTGAAATCAGTGGCATCCACCACCAAACAACAGAGAACTTAAAATTCCAATAACTAACGGAAAACAAAAGATAGAATAACTTGGGAGTAAAAGCAAAAATAAATCTCTACGAATTAAGAGGACATCCACACAGGAAACATCAAATAAATAAGTAACATCTAAAAACACCTGTGATTATCCAGTTGAAAACAGAGAAAATTGGTGTTGCAAGTTATAGATCTATATAGAATCCTTCATTACATCTGAATAGGGAAACCAGAAGAACATCTTCCTTTTTTGTTGCCTCCCTCCCCTCTTACTCTCCTTGTTTGGGATTCATCCCCTTGATTGTCATAGTTCACGAAAATGGGCATGCGTGTGTAAAGTGAATGGAGGAAAAGAAACCAATGCAATAGCTATATCGGTTACTTTTCCCCCTATGGTGGGGATACAAGGCTAATATTAATGAGGATCGATCCACATATAATTCATGACTGCATGTTTTCTATAATGTTTTTAATGGTAATCGGTGAATCCAATGTGCAATAGTATGTGTTTTTTCAATAAAATTCATAATTTTTTACAATCAATTGACGTGTCCGGATCCTTAAGTTGACCGCTACTAACCCGTTATCTCCTAACGGGTTAACCTTTTTCTTTTTGTATAAGAGTATTTGCACCAGTAAACCCTGGCCATATGGATGGTTTTGTGGTTTAAGACTTATTTATTTTAAAGTGAAACTCCAGTTTCCTTGAGAATAAGCTTTAGAACCGCAAGAATTTAGAAAAAAACAAATACGCATTTTCTTTCCACAAATATGGCTTTCCAACAAAAACTTTGTTAAAGTCTAACTACAGGTTAGATACAGTGAAGAAGAGTTACATTTCTGCCAGGGTTTTATTCTTGTCTGTTTACCCCCATTTGGGTGGTTTTCTCTCCCTTCCTCTGCCTGTGACACCTGTACAACAGCTGTCATTGGGAGAAGAAGAGACAGACAGCAATGCAAACTGTTTAAAAAGTTTGAAACCTTCTCTACTCTGTTAACTTTTTTTTTCATGTCCCTGTTGGAGAGATTTCCCATCGCTTGCAATCCTGTTCTCAGTAGGGACACATACGGCAATAGAAACCTGGCAGAGGCTCTAAAAATTAACTATATCCAAAACTAAGTAAGTTAATAAGCAATATATGCAGACCAGGAGTTCTAACAATACTCCATTGACCATATACTTGTTCAAGGGCAGTTTTTAGAAATTAATTAACAGTTAACTATTAGTAGGACAACTATACAGCTAGCATTTCAGATTAAGGTCCCCAATGGCAGACAGTTTTTTTATGGCAAGTATCTGCTTGCCTAATATCCAGCATATATACTTGTCCTAGGTCAGTGAACCATAAAGTGTTAAAGCCTGAGGATTACCATTACTACCAGGGAACTAGCACCTTAAGAAGAAGGTCAGTAATTGCCGTCTCTGTATTTTACTTGGCGCAGGTGTTCTTTAATTTAGGAGTGGACAAATTAATATGGAATTCAGGAACCAGTCTGTCCAGCAGCCAGCAGGATTTATTTTTTAGGAGCCAGCTCCATTGACAACAGAGAAAACCTCAAAAACTTGGCACCAACTGTAATTTTTAAGGAGCATTGGCTACCTTGATCCTGGGATTTGTCCAGCCCCGGTTTAAATGCAAGAAAATACAAGTGAGCTATAATGATTGTAGAAGTATTTTACCAAATATATAGAGAGTCTTACTTGCTACTTTTCTATAGATAAAGAGATAGGCCAGTCCCATGCAAATTCACGTTTTCTTTTGTGTGTCCTAAAACTATTTTTTTTTCCAATGCAGGACATATGATAGAACGTATTGTGGTCCATTGCGGCAGTAGTCAGGACTGTCAAGAGTGGCTAGATCATCTCTACCGTCTAACTAAAACTCATGCTTCACATGCCTCTTTATGTAAAACACCATCGTGGGGAACTCAGTCTGTAAGTTACACATTCTTTTCTTGTTGGCATTATTGGTTTACAAAGAGTATTATATTTGCCCATGTACGATTTATTATTATACAGGATTTATATAGCGCCAACAGTTTGCGCAGCGCTTTACAATATAAGGAAGATATTACAATCACAATACAATTCAAGACAATATGGTAAGGAGGGCCCTGCCCGTGACGGCTTACAATCTAAAAGAGGAGGGGGAAATGATACATGAGGAGGTAGCTGTGAGGGGATTAATTATTTGAGAATGTGATGGTTCACTCAAGCAGCTGGGCGGATCCCGTCATCTTAGTCGGGATCTGCTCCAGGTGCGGCGTCTCAGTACACCGCGAGCTGTAGCTCGCAGTATACTGAGCTTAGGGTAACGGGAGGACGCTAGTTTGTGTCCTCCTGTTACCCCAAGGAGAACAATGGGGAAAAATACTGACCCCATAGTTCTCCTTTTAATATTTTGAATTTTATCCTTTTGGGCGAGTGGAAGCCAGTAGGGATTGACAGAGGGGGGTTGCAGACAGTGACCGGTTGGTTAGGTGAATGAGTCTAGCAATAAAGCAACAGGTTAACTTTAATAGTAATTGCAAGAACTTGCGCTATTGGAAATTGGGAATACTAAAAATAATAAAATGTGAATACAAGTTTGAATAGATAAAAATTGTGTGAAATTTAATTGTTCTAGAAGGGTAAGGGAAGCTGCTGAACTAAAGGCACTCAGCCCCTATTAGGATGTATTTTCTCAAAACGTACAGCGCTAGCCGTCCTTCCGAGGTGAATATAAGAAAACAGACGTTAAGATCAAGATTTGACAAGTGCTATTAAAACATAATAATAAATTCTAACATTCAGTGAAGAGGTGTATCTCAAAATACTCAATGTGAATAGTTGTGTAAACAAATTAAAGTCTATAAAATATCAAATCAGACAAGGTATGAATTTATCTAATAAAATGTGATAGACTGTGAATATATGTATCATGTGTGGGTGATTCTTGTTAATAAATAGTGAATGAACAAACAATGTATACCAATTAAATAAAATAAATTATATTAAATTAAACTTTTATCGATGTATATGTGAATAGTCCAAATCTTTTGCAGTTTTTAAAAAAATCTTTAAAAATCCATAAATGTAAGACACTTCAACAGTGAAAATTCAGTGCAATAATGTGTCCAACGAAAATCCGAAAAAATGAAGAAAAAAATGCAGAGAAAATCCCCTCAAGGGAATGCACTCACCAGATCCGAAGATGTTAAACACGTTTGTTTCATCAAGGTAAGTCTGGAGCTCCGTCTTTAATTTCCACGCTCGATCAGGCTCCAGGGAAGGAGAGGTCTCCCGTTTTACCCGTGATGTTTAAACAGAATATCCTCGTATTTTAATTGGTATACATTGTTTGTTCATTCACTATTTATTAACAAGAATCACCCACACATGATACATATATTCACAGTCTATCACATTTTATTAGATAAATTCATACCTTGTCTGATTTGATATTTTATAGACTTTAATTTGTTTACACAACTATTCACATTGAGTATTTTGAGATACACCTCTTCACTGAATGTTAGAATTTATTATTATGTTTTAATAGCACTTGTCAAATCTTGATCTTAACGTCTGTTTTCTTATATTCACCTCGGAAGGACGGCTAGCGCTGTACGTTTTGAGAAAATAGGTTAACTTTAATGCCGGCCCCAAAAGCAGCACATACTCTCTGTTTAGCATCTGGGATAAAAGAAAAATACCTGGCACTTCTGGGTGACATGTGACAGCACTGGTGCTTGGTGATTGGCTGCTTAGGAACCCTGAGCTGCCTTATGGAGGCAGTGAGACAGTCAATTGCTCTGTATAAGCTGTAAGTTGGATCTTTCACAGCGTTCCCTCTCTCTTCTTTCTCAGTGGCTGAAGGAAGCGACAGCAAAGGGGAAAGTATACAAGGCACATGGGGTTGCCATAAATGTGAACCCCAATAAATGTTTAATTTGCCCTGCCTGATTACTTTGGTGTAATTTATTAAAACAGAACAGAATGAGCACAAAATGGAGGTGTTACCGATAACATCCTGTTATACAGGATATAAAGTGTCCAGTATCACTGGATTCCTGAGCAAAATTCAAGCTGCCTACCCAGTTTTCATGTTCTCATTAAGTTGATGTAACTGTAATATGGCCATTATATACATATTACCTTTTGAAATCAGTGCTGACCTTTTGAAGATATTTTAAGTCAGTTAAGCAAGCTAGACTTTTTGCATAATATTAACACCCAAGAAGTAGAGACCACTGAACAGCACTTTTCACAGCTGCAACAACTTTTACTATGTTGGTGAAGAAATGCCTTCATGTGAGTGTCCTTTAATTCCTTGTTGTCAGACAAAAGATATTTGTTGTTTTTATATCTGAAAAATCTAGCATCGTTAGCATTTTTATAATGATTTTAAATTGTCCTTTTAAATTTGCAGACTCCAGACAGGAAAAACCCCCCTCTGTCTCCACACTCCTATTCATTACTTCCCCGTGGACCGCTGGAACCTGCCAAAATTTACAAAGCCTGGACCTTGAGTTGCCTGCGACCGGCTCCACCACTTCGACCGTCAGCGGCACTCAGCTATAAAGAGGTAGCCTTTGTAGCTCAATGTTGTTCTGTTTAAGTATTGTTATATTAATTATACAATATACAGTACATGTCACTATTTATTGTAGAAATGTTACTCCATTCTCCTATTTCTGCTGGTGATATTCCCCATGATCTTTAACTGCACTTTATAGGAGCAAACCTTTGGTTGCTTTCAATTTAATTTTGTATACCCATTTCTGTTACTCTAAAGACGTGTACGTATTTGGATAGCATCTTCTTCCACCCCTCTCTACCATCACTCTTACTTTGTCTATGTTTCCTAAATGGTGCTCTTAAGTGTATCAATGCCAGGAACCTTGGACACCTTCTATTAGCTGAAAGCGGCTATTTGTCTTACATTGCCCCTTAAACGCACATTTTATGTGATTTGTTCGAGGAAGGCTAAAATACTTTTGGCCCATTTTTTTTTTTTTTAATTTAATGATTATTTTAAATTATTAACTTTTAATTTAAACAATTTTGGTAAATCTGTCAAGTTAGTAATCTAAAGACTGCCATTTTTACATCCTTTTTGAAAAGCTGGTTGCCTGACTGTTATTCTGTCACACTAACTTCAACACCTTCTGAGTCACTGATCTGGAAAAAAAATCGGAGTAAATGCGTTTTTTCCTCTGCATGCCTGTTTTACATAATTATCCTATTTATTGGAGAAAGAGGGTCAGCATGACCACCAGGCAACTAGCATGTTCTTAAAGAAAGGTCAACAGTAGCAGCTGTTAAATTTATCTCCTGGCAAGCTTCTTTTTAATACTGGATGCTTTCATTACGTCTTTTATTTTGCTGAGCATAATGGACTTTCTAATAAGAAAGCCTAACATTGCCTGCTTACCTGTTGACTGCTTTTAGCTATTTAACATCCATACAGGGTGTACAAAAATAGCAAGGGAGAGGGGTGTTTGCTTTCTCTGACTCATTCAGCTTTGTGTGCTGTAAATAGGCCTGAATAGTAGAGATCAAATTATGCTGGAAGGTCAGCTTTCTAAGGGGCTGCAGATGGAACTTCTAGTGCCTCTGGCTGTAAGCTGTACATATTAGGGATTCACCGAAATGGAATGTTTTTAAAATAATTTTCTGGTTATGTTATTTTTATGTTTTCTTTTTACTTTTACTTTACTGTTATTGGATTTGGGGAAATATCAGGGGTCTAAACAGTCCCCTGATATTTTCTTTTAAAATAGAAAGAGCTTGAAGACACAGAGTCCTCAATCTCTTTTTCTGCTGCCCCAGCAGTCAATGATCAGGAAGTTCTCAATACAGAGGTTTCCTGTTCATTCTCAGTCTGGAGATAGTAAATATTTACTGTCAACAAAGTCATGAATGGGCCTCTGTACTAGGCTGTTCATTCATAAAGTATGCAGATAGTAAATATTTACTATGTCAACAATCATTAATGACCAGGAAGTGATGTATAGCACCTCCTGTTCATTCATAACTCCAAAAAATCCTAAACATAATATTAGAGGAATAACAATAAAAGAACCACTTAAGGGTGTACTTAATGAGGATTCCCATGAGTCATTGGTCCCCTTTTAGTCTTTTTAAAATTGCAATAAAAATCTCTGTGCTACCTAAAATAGTCAGAACAATACTCTTTCATGGTTGATACCATTTTTATTTTCTATAGCATCTATGTAGGCATCCCTAGAGTCTTATTATTCATCAATATGCAATCTGGTCCTTCTACCACTATAATTTTTCAATCTTGGGAAACACTGGCTTGGTTACAAGCCAAGTCAGGCTCCTCCCTGTACAATTTGACTAGTTCCTATGCAGATATTCCTTGGGGAAGTGTGAGTTCTTTATTTGGCATACAGCCAAAAGAAGATGGGTAGAAATTCCAGTGTGGAATGTAAGCAGTTGATGTGGCCTAAGCCAACAACCGCCATCCAATAATGTAATTTCAGTTTTTTAACTTGGTCATCATGCTTGAGCATGGTTTTATGGGTAATTGTGAGTGAATGGTTTGCTGGCTGTGTACAACTAAAAACAGGAAATAATTGAAGGTCACCAAAAAAAGATGCATCTTATTTCTGCTAAGTGTGTGTTTTTCTCATGCAAAAACTGCTCTCACGTGTCTCAATGACAAGCATCACACTTCCTCTCTGTAATTATAACACACAGCCTTGAGGTGTGAGTGGGTGCCAAATATATGTATTCCCTTAGGGGTCTTGCCTTGTAATGTGGTAAGCCATGAGCTCTCAGCATTTTTCAAAAAGGGTAGCACTGAGTGATATTTATATTATATTTTTAGAGTGCCACGTCAATCCTCAGCACTCTGTTCATGCTGCAGATGTGGCAACCATGAAAAGAAACAAACTCTGCCCTTTACCAGTCATCACTAACTGGAAACAGGTTTTGCTCGTGCTTTCGTTGATATTTTATTTAGCTTAACTGAGAATAAACCTGTACTGAGTGAAATAAATGGGCCGCCATTACTGGCTTTCTTGGAAAACTATTTGCGTGGCTGTCTCTGGCTTCAATACTTTTGGAGTTCTTAATCCAGAAGAAGAATGCAGATTAGGATGTCAATAGGGAGTCAGAAATTCTGATCCACATACTTGTTTAGGGTCAATACATTAGAAAGTATTGAAGCGACTGGATCAGTATGTTAGGTAGCCAACTAGCATTCTCAGTAGGATATATGAGAATTAGCAACCTCCATATTTTCCCAGTACAAGTTTCCTTTCATAACTGGGCTATTAAATTGGAAATCAATGTAATTTTAAGGTGATGATGGATGAAAGATTTACAAGGTTTCATACACTTCAGATTCTGTTCCATTCCGTATTCTGAGAGGGATCAAATATTCTGCATGTGTCCAACATGTGAGATGCATTTCATTTTCCTATATATAAGGTTGTACTTTATAGAGCAGACAGAAGCTGTCATGGGGATGCTTGGTAGAGGAGCTTACAGGAACTTAGTGTATATGAATCCCAAAATTGGGGGGTCTCAACAATTTAACACATGAGAATTTCATGTAAAAAGTGTCTGAAGGGAAGTGTGTTGCCTACACTAACCATTTCTTTTTAAACTGCACTAGCAATCTGCAATCTGGTTTCCATAGACATTGTGAAATTACTCCTGCAATATGGCTTCTTAGGAGTTGGCTGAAGAGCCCATTTAAATGACTGTACTCATGAAGGTAGCCCATGGATTTGATTGGGATGTCAATGCACATTAGCACACAAAAAAGCAACTACACTACTTTTGCCAATGTGTTTTAGTGTAGAATGAATGCTGCAACACCACAACGTACATATACTTGTGCGTTAACACATTTTACCACGCATTGATGGAAATCTGCACTCAGGGTTCAACTTTTTGTAGGAAGTTGATTTCTAAATCAGAATAAGCACTTTCCCACTTTGAAAATAAAAAAATAAAAAGGCATTTACACATCCATGCAGGTAATCTTTCCAACAGTAGTAGCATTCTTCCGCAATTTAGTAGAGCACTCCAAAAGCACTTGTTTTTTGGGACTCATGAAAAGCATATGTCTAGCTCACCCAATTATTAAAATTTATAAAGTATAGGCAAAAGTAGTGAAACCTCTTCACCTAAGGTTTTGTGGGTTAAAACACACCTGTTCCAAGAAACCGTTAGTTCCTTAAGTGTCATACTGATCTTCCTGCTTAACGCAGACCTTCAAAAGATAGCAAGGTCCGCTCATTATCATCATGGGTACCTCCCCCTGTATAAGTTGCTATGTAATAGAAGGCCAAAAACATACCTGTGGAGAAGAAATGTAGAATAATTTCTTACCCCCTATCTTCTGCATTGGTGGACATGAGGTCACTGTTCTTGGGAATGATGCATACCCCAAATCTTGCAAGAAGACACTGAAGCACAGTACAAGAGCATCTACTTGCACAATTTGGGATCTTTGTCATTTCCAGGGTCTCCATAGAAGGATTGTGATGTCATCCTCACCTTGGCTCTGCAGGCAGAAGATGGATGTAAACTTAGTATACCTTCTAACTGTTTTCCTCCCAGGTACATTTTGTTTGTACACTGTTATGCAGTGATTATCAAATGGAGGGGGGGTAGGGGTGTTGCAAGGTCCACTTTAAGTATATCTACTTACAGGCCTGAAACAAGTATGCAGATGAGCACTTCTAAATTTTCCTGATCCTGACTCAGAAAGTGCTGAAACTATAGGATCAGTATCAAAGTCACAAACATTTTAAGAATGTCTGTAGAGGCAGTCCTTATAGTTCTTTCTTGACAGGTTTACCTAAGAGCGGCTGCTCTTCCTTGCATCAAGCATTTCTTTTTTCAAAGGTCATCACTAGAGTGTTGACATGGATTCATAGTATTTCAGCACATAAAATCAAGTACATGGCTGAGGGCTTTATGATTGCTAATGGAAAACAAGTTGTTCACTTATAGCAACCAACTAGATTCTATTGCATGTTTTTACAGCAGAGGTTATAAATAAGTGAAGGGGTAAACCTTACTAGCGGTTATGGGCAACACCTTCAATTTACCCTACTTTATATTGGATGTGTTTTTGAACTGTGATCACCCAGTACAGGCTTGTTTTAATGACGGTGCTCTCTTTTTTTTTTTTTTTTTGAGTGGTTAGGAAGTTATGTTAAACTGTTATTTACCTGCTCTCTCTTACATATATTCTTTTCTTTTTCTACATATTTATTGTAGAGGATGTCTTATATCTTGAAGGTAAGGGTAGAACCTATTGTTACGCTGCAATGTGGAAGCTTCTTCCCTGCGCCTTGCTTCTGTCTGTCTAATACCTGCAATTACTGCATCTCGCTGAATGTCTATATAGAACCGATCTACAGCATATTGTAATGGGTGAGCTTCATAATATAAAACTGGAAGGGTTTCCTTCATATTGTGGTTGAAAAAGCCATGATGCCACATTAACTAGTAGTCAACTAGAGAAGTTATAATTAGCTGCTTTGTGGTAGAACACGTCACTGTCCTTTTCCCTGTCAAAGTAAATTAAAAAAAAAA